CACATCTTGTTTAGTGCTTTTATAGTTACACTTATCCTTTTTATGAACTTTAAAGAGAAAACTTCAACTCTATATTGATGTGGTACCACCTCAAAGTTCATATAGACAAACATTTATCTAGGCCTATATATATAAACATTTAAGATCATTTTTTAATTAATTATGATCTAACCTCTTATATATTTCATTTGTTAGGTGAAACTCGATGATTGGAAGTGAAATTGGAAGAAATGAGGGAAAACGGGCAAAAAAAAGATGAAATCCAAAAGTTCGGGGACCTAATTGCAAATATCCATTTATTTGGACAATAAAACATTGATTAAAGATTATAGAGGATCAATTGGATGTAATTAGAAATATAATCAAAGTACTTTCACCAATTCATATTCTCAGCCGAGTATTGGCACCCATCTTTGGCATAGTAAAGATTCGAATTGGAAAATTTTTATTTCTAAACAAATTATAGCCCTTTTGAGTTAGTTTTCCAATACACTTTGAATCAACTCAATCAAATATCGGAAGATAAAGTTATGATAAAAATATTGATGGCTGCGCAGAGACATAATCATGCGCGATTCAAAGGCAACTTTCTTTATTGAAACTTTTTTGGAACTCAATTTAGACGTGAATCTTGACCTAAGTTTACCCTCTATATATACAGTATATGGGCAGCCATTGAAAATACCTCTCATACATTATTTATCATCCATTATTACAAGAATGAGAGGTCGAATGAGAATAAGAGAAATTGCAAACATTCAATCTTTTGAAGATTGAAATTAAGATTTTTGGGGAAACAAGAAGAATAATTATGGGCAACAACATCACGATTCATCATCTTCTACTTCACCAACCTAAAATTCGGGTTTTGTTTATCCAATAAAATAAGATTTTGTAACGTTGGCTATGGTTTTATTTACTAAGACATTAATGAACCCTTTTTATGAAGTTTTAATATAAATTCAATAATTTGACACTCAATTTGTGTTTATTCTTGGATGATTGTTACAGAACTTAATGGTTTTCAATTAATTGGCCACTAATTGGAATGCTGTGTGAATTTTATTGATTCTCGAGAGAACATGATAGATATCATGTTATAAACACCATTGTAAAGTTCGATATATATTGTATTTTTAATGCATACTTTCATGTTCGTATCTTTCGTGGAGATATATAGGAAGGTCACATGAGATGATATATTTAATTGACTTCAAGACATAATTTTAATTGACTTAGAAATATTGATCAACAATAATGTGCACATATTGTAATGTTATTGAGTTATTGAAACAAATTAATAAGGAGGATTCGAGGTCTTAGAAACATCCAATTTAAATTTACAAAACTTTCATAAGTTATTCATTAGAATAGTTAGTTTATTTGATTATTATAAATTCTTTAAAACAAATTTGGTTATTCGATTACAGTTAACATTAATTGATCCTATATTAAGTACGTGGTCCTTGTGGAAGCGATATTCTACTTATTCTTTATTACTAGTTTGAGATATCTTACACTTGCAGGAAATCAAATGATCAGTTACAACTGTGTGGTACACATTAAAATTTTCATTCTTATTCTTATACTCATTTTCCACCACACATTTTTCAATAAAATAATATTTTCCATCACATCAATAACTTTTCCTTCATTTTTAACCATACATTCTCCATCAATCTACTATTCCAAAATACATTCTTCTATTCATTTTCAAACACAGATTCTTGAATAAAATAATATTTTCCATCACAACAATTATTTTTCATTCTTTTTCAACCACACATTCTTCATCAATCTACTATTTCAAAATACATTCTTACAAAAGAATGTGGCTCAAGCACATCCCAAGAATGTGAACATATTTGAAATTTGACGTATTTAAAAATCTGATTTTTCTTCAACTCGGCCCAATTCCTATGTTGGCTTATTTTTTCCAAAATTTCACAGACATATTTGATACATAATATTAAACTAAGTCACTAAGAGAGTATTTGATTGATATGTAACATATATCTTAGAAAAGAAAATATTTTCCTTGTAAATAGCAATCAAACACTTCAAAGTAGGAATTTAGATGAAAAATTGACATTATCCATGAAAAATAAATGCAATCAAATGCACCCTAAATGTTATGCCTGAACTTGATATTTACCTTGCAAGTGCATCAATTAATTAAAGAAATCGTCGGTTTTATTAGTGAAAAGAATAAGAAAGCAAGCCGCAACCCCACTTTTTTCCCCTCGTGTTAATAGCTTATTTAGCTCCCACTGGCTTATCTAAACGTTA